TTTTTGAACTTCACCAATATTGGACAAACATAATACAGATAAAAATAAATATCAAGGACGATTAATTTTTATGCTAGACTGGTCATGTGATGTGGCAATCAAGTAGTCCATGTAAAAATCTGCAGTATTGAGGTGATCTATAAATTTCAATATTGTAAGGGCAAAATCAAGTAAAGATTTTAAGTGTAATTAATCAATGTCTTCAACACCTTTCATCAGGTTGACAGCACTTTTCAGATTAGCATAATGCCTCGAAGCTTATGTTTTAAAGCTTATCATGATACATTGAGTGCATGCCCTTGCGATAGATCGATTTATTTAAGACCTGGTCATGTATTATCAAACAAATAAACGGCAGTATCACTTACCAGTTGCTTACCTATGTGAATAAAGCTATTAAAAAGGCACAATAATTGTATTTTAAATAGTTGCAAACAGTATATTGATTTATTTTAAAACACATGTGAAAAAAAACTTGATCAACCTCTTGCTGCACACTAGAATGTTCATATTTTTCATGATGACGTTTTGTAGACAAGTTGTATTTGTGTACATGACGTCATCATGAAAAAATATGAGAGTCAGATTTAACTAACCCTAAAATTGCATGTAAAAGTAATTTTTAATACAGTTTATTACTTTATGCAATTAAAAATCGCAAATTGTTTTATTTTCTGATTGTTTTGAAAAAATTGTAATTTTTGTGTGATAGCATAGCAAATATTTCCTTTTTAAATTAGGCAACGCTTCGTAATATGTAAACATCACTCTGCTGCGCACATGATATGCATACGAATCACAGAAGAAAGGAATACATACCCAACTAATTCAGATTTGCGGGGAGAATTGCACGTAAAAATCATTAACGAGGGTTGATCCAAAAGTAATGTCACAACTGCTAAAAAAACCTTTAATAATAAAATTTTTCAACGAAACTTCACATACTTATATCTTTATCTATTTTGAGTTTTGTCCTAAAATTTTATTCAGATATATGCAATACTTTATAGAAAATTGAAATAAACACAACAATGGAATTTTATAGCAGGTGTGACATAACCTTTGGATCAACCCTCGCATTAAGCTTTACAAAAGACTATTTTAAGAACTACTTTCTTTTTCTTTTTTCACATCAATTTGCTGTTTGTATGTAATTCCATGCTTATGAATAAATTTCATTTTAGTAAAATTTATATATATATAGATCAATTTAAGGGAGCCGACTGGGATTTTATTGTGTGAAAGCTACTACAGAGAAACTCTTTAATTTTATACCATATATACCTTACATTGACTTCAGCATGTATACTGAAAATCTACCGTCTGGTTATTTTTAGGGACCATCTCAAAATACAGGTACATTTACTATAGGATTATATAGGAAAATTCCATTTTTTCGCACTTCGGAGCAAATTATACAAATGCTGCTATAGACTTTTTGCTCAAATTTTATTATTTGATGGGTAATACTATATTGTACATTTTATGCAAGAAACACAGAATTCTACCGTCTGGTTTCCAGAGGGGGCATATCAAAATGTCAAAATTCATGATATTTTCTGGTTTTTATGGAGTACAACAAAGCATGAAAGATACCACAGATTTACATAAAAAATGATAACAATGATTGCTAGATTCTCAATTTCCTATGTTTTAAATTTCAAGAGCTTAATTTTTATATTTTTTATTTTATGGCATAATTAATGACCCCGCTTAAAGAACTTCGGCTATTCATAACGTCAAAAACACACTATTACGACGTCTATCTACCCATCATTTGAAAAATCGTTGAAAAAATCAGTTATTTAAAAACGTAATTAGATTTTTTTTACCTCAGATTTCCTAAATTTGTTATTTATATAAATTATGTAAAAATAGTTGCTTAAAAAGAGTAAATACGCTTTATTTTATTAAGCTGTGCGAAGTATTGCGCAATGAAAACCCCAGTCGGCCTCCCTAAATGTGTTTTAGATCTGTGCAAATATTCAGAGAGCACGGCAAGCGAACCATATCTTTCTAATTAAGCGCTACTGGTATCGTTCGTCTTTAAATTCCATTGAAAACCTGTTGCACTTTTTACAAAGATATTTTTATCAACATTTTCTGCAAGGCCATTGCAACACATTATACTTCCTGGTATTGACGATGAATGTTTTGATTTTGATTATTGCCTTTTCTCCCTTTTGTCAAGGTAAATCAATTCTTTTATTAGAATAAATGAATTCTTATACCTAAGATGAGTACTGTGTAATCCTATTTCTTGAAATATACACATGGAAAAAGTATTGCAACACCAACTTTTTTCTTGAATCAAAGTATAATGATAAAGTTTCAAGGTCATTTAAAGTTTCTGTGCTTCATTCTATGATTTAATAGCATCATTTGATCTTTTGGAATATAAAGCACAATTAAGTCATTGTTATTGTATTTGTTAGAACTCTAACTCTATCTATTGATTAAAAAGTCTATTGAGAATGAAATAAAGTTTAATAAGGTAAACATAATGTAAACCTCACACTTGACGATTATTTACATCATTTTATTGTACCTTGAAGAATCTGGATTAGCCTATATTCAGACGTTGAATTTGATGCTGTGATAAAGATTTCTTAAGTCATAAGATGTTTGAATTGTTGGTGTCATTTGACAAACCCAGCGAAAAATTATGTCTACAATGTGCTAAACGGGGTTTAAATTAGACTTTGAGCAGGTCAAAAAAGTGTTGCAACTGACTTTTAAAGCAAAAAATCCTATACAGCAACTAGTACAGCGTGGTCTGACATTGTCCGTCATGAACACAAGACTTGTTCAAAGAGGATGATTGTTAAAATAAAACACAACACTTGCAGGAATAATATCTCTTTTTTAATCGTGTTTCTTAAGCTTTACTATGATATAAGACTCACTGAGACTTTAACTGTGATAAGATCCGGCTAACAGGTATAGGAAACACAACCTTACGCTCTAACTGATTCACCTCCAAACGGATTCGTTTCAGCAATGTTTTGTTTAGTATAGAGCTAGGTTTCCGCCAGACAAGTATTCGTCCATCTGTGATAAATGTACGAAAATACAACTCTCGTCTGCTCACAGATGGACTTTCCTCCGACAGCCAGATTCCAATGATGACAAACTTGCATAAGTTCTGCTTGTGTATGATGTAAGGAGGTTGGTCTTCTTGCAGATAGCCAGATAATTTTAGTTTGTTCTTATTGAAAGCAAATGGTGTGGTAAGCACTCCTTTTTTCAAACCTGAGTTCTGACAAAAACATTTTGCTAAACCACCCTTCTTTGTGTATTGTCCCCCAAAACATATGTTTTGTTGGGTCTTCCTGATATTGCAGAATGCATTAGAATTGTCCATTGTTTTTAGCTCACATGAGCTGAGAGCTCAAGTGAGCTTTTCTGATCACATTTCTGTCTGTCCGTCTGTAAACTTTTCACATTTTCAACTTCTTCTCCAGAACCACCGGGCGAATTTCAACCAAACTTGCCACAAAGCATCCTTGGGTGAAGGTGATTGAAGTTTGTTCTAACGAAGGGCCACAGCTTATTCAAGAGGAGATAATTCAGAAATAGTGGAAATTTGATGACATATTTTAAAAATATTCTTCTCAAGAACCACTGGCCCCAAAAAGTTGAAACTTATAGGAAACCTTTGTTACATAGTGTAGATTCAAGATTGTTCAAATCCTGACCCCTGGGGTGGGGTGGGGTCACAATGGGGGATCAAATTTTACATAGAAATATATAGTAATTTTTTTTTTTTTTTTTAAATCTTCCTCTCAAGAACAGCAAAGCCATGTTTAGTCATATTGATATGAAAGCATTCTCAGGTATTGTAGATGCAAGTTTGTTCAAATCATGACCCCCGGGGTAGGGTGGGGCCACAATGGGGGATCAAAATTTTCTAGAGGATTATATAGGAAATTTTTTTTTTCTCAAGAACAGTAAAGCCATGATTAGTCATATTGATATGGAAGCATCCTCAGGTAGTGTAGATTCAAGTTTGTTCAAATGATGACCGCCGTGGGTAGGATGGGGTTAAAATGGGAGATCAAATTTTACATAGAAATATAGAGGAATAAAACTTTAAAAATCTTTTTCTCAAAAACAGCAAAGTCTTGCTTACTCATATTGATATGGAAGCATTCTAATGTAGTGTAGATTCAAATTTGTTTAAATCATGACCCCTGGGGGTAGGGTGGGGTCACAATGGGGGATCAAAGTTTTACATAGGAATATATAGAAAAAATCTTTTTCTCAAGGACAGTAGAGCCATGTTTAATCATATTGATATGGAAGAATTCTCAGGTATTGTAGATTCAAGTTTGTTCAAATGATGACCACCGGGGGTACATGTAGGATAGGACCACAATGGGGAATCAAAGTTTTACAGAGGAATATATAGGAAAAAATAATTAAAAATCTTCTGGTCAAGAACAGCAAGGAATTTCTTATATTGGTATGGAAGCATCCTCAGGTAGTTTATAATTCCAAGCCCATAGGCCTTTTGTTTGACAATTCTACTCATGGTGATGACGCACGTCATGACAAATTTATCTTAATGACATACTTGCTTCCCTCATTCCAACCATTTGCCATCGAATTGCATTTCAGACTTGCATAAGATCCATTATTTAAATCTGCAAAGTAAACATAATTATTAACCGTTTAGGTTAACTGAAGAACCAAATTCACTTTGTATGAAACTTGCAATTCTGTTTGAAGTGCGTATAATTGCTCAAAAGTAATTCTCTCCAGACAAAGTAGGCTATAAGTAATTGAATACATGTATATTGTAAGGGAAAAAATAGACAAAATTGTGTAACGAAATTCACAATTATTACTCTACTTTCAAAAGTCTTATAAAGGAATAAATTTGCTATTGCAATACTTTCTTCCATGTGTATATATGTTATGTATAGGACAATGGAACTTGAATGCCTACCCTTCGACTATGATTGGTGGAAATAATGTTTCTATCACCTGTTATTTCTACATGTTTAAAGACAAGGTTATTCCTGAAATGTTTTTGGAGATCCGTCAAAGCAAAAACAATGACTGGAGAGAACTTGTAATGACTAATATCACGGGATACGATTTTCTTAGCAAGGATCTGCATCAAGGAGAATATGTCATCTCATTATATGGATGTTATGCGGCATATGCGTGTCAAATTCAGATTGTTGCGTCCGTAACATTACGTAGTTGCACAATTGAGCCAGAACTCTACTCAGTCTTTAGATGTAAAGTTTACAACGGAAGTCAATTTTTCAAAAGCCCAGAGAGAAGTATTGTGTCAACGAAAGGTGAGATTTTTTTTTAGTCTAACTAGATTAATACGTCATTAAAAGAAAGTTGTATCAACATGACGTCCTGAAGGTTTTTCCACCCTCACAATTTTAATGGTTAAATATAAAACAAGATGTGTTTGTGAAACACTGATGCCCCCGTATGGCAGCTTATGGCGAAGGTTAAAGTTTCTCAAATGCAAGTCAAAATCCAGGCGAAAAGATTAAAAAAATGTTGGTACCCAAAGACAGGTCTTGTCTCGAGCAATATACCTATGAAATTTGAAAGCCCTAGCTGCAACTGTTCAAACGTTATGGCGAAGGTTAAAGATTTTTGAAAGTAAGTAAAATATCAAGGTCAAGGTCAAAGTTGTTGGTATCCAAGGGAAGGTCTTGCCACAAGGATTACATATGTGAAGAATGAAAGCCCTAGCACTAACCATTCAAAAATTATGGCCATGTTAAAGTTTTTCGAAAGTAGATCAAACTCCTATGTCAAGGTCAAAAGGTCAAAGTTGTTGGTATTCAAAGGAAGGCCTTGTCACAAACAATACACATGTGAAATTTGAAACCCCAAGCACCAACTGTTCAGAAGTTATGGCCAAGGTAAAAGTCTCATAAAATTTTGCAAAAGTGGGTCAAACTCCAAGGTCAAGGTCAAAGGTCAAATATGATGGTTCCCAAAGAAAGGCCTTGTCACAAGGAATACATGTGAAATATGAAAGTTGTAGCTCCAACCACTCAAAAGTTATGGGCACGGTTAAAGTTGACAACAGACAGACAGACAAACAGAAAGACAGGACAAAAACAATAAACCCCCGGGATCTTTCGATCCAGGAGCATAAAAACAGCATTTAGTTTTCCCAAATATAGTTAAAATTAACTAATAATTGCCAAAAACAATGTATAGGTTGTCAAACGTTTTTTAAGACGTAAGACGTAAACAAACAGAAGAACAGACGTATATGTCAGCATAAAAATTGTACATTTTTAGTAAACAGTATTTTAAAAATTATGTAAAAATTGGTTCAAATACACGTTCTGACGCTGAAATTTCAAAATAATTGCTACTTTATACGTTTTATGTTTGAATTGTGGATATCAGAGAAACCTTTTTACATTAGAAGTAAAATAAAGAAAATACCTTAATTAATTTAAGATACATGAGAGAGAGAGAGAGAGAGAGAGAGAGAGAGAGAGAGAGTTATTGTCCTTAGCAACATTTCTAAAAGATTGAATAATTGATTAGATAAAGAGAATATACATTTTAAAATTCCTTTTACTTAACAATATTTTTCATTAGATCTATTGAAAACGATTTTTCTAAAGGATAATTTTCTGTTGAGAATGAATTTATACTGATAAAACTTTTTGCAGAAACTATGACATCACAGAAGGATGGAATACTTTAAACGTTACTTGTAAAAACTAACAAAGTACCCATCCTCAGTCAAAAATGACAAAACAAAATATAATGTTCATCAAAAGGTGAAAATGAAACACTGATCTTTTAAAAAAAGAAAACGTAAGAAAAATAGCTACAAACAGCACAAATCTATGAGCAAGGCATAAAACATGGAACAATGTTATTTAAGCTGCAATACAATTTCCAATATCGTCTGATTTCCATTCGGTGGTCATTTAGAGGAATCGGAGGAGAGAATACTATTGCAAGATATATACTCTCTTCAATCAGTATTTAGAATTTGCGGTAGATCCAAATACAGAAAGGACCTCTTATTGGGTTAGGGCTTACTCTAAATCGCTTGGAAATCAGACAATATTGGAAGTCTGAAGCTTGCAAATATAATCAATGTTTCAAAATTTTGTTCTTTCATTCTTTCTTACGAAATGAATTGTATTTTAATCGAGATTCTTTGAACTTTTCAAAACAATAATTATTTCGAGAGTGTGTGCTCCCTTACGTAAATTTTTTTTATTCTTTCTGGATGAGTCCCCCCCCCCCCCTCCCAAAAAAAAAAAAAAAAAAATTACCATTATTATTATATAGCTTATAAATAGTCCATAAAAAATAGTCCATAATAAAAAAAATCTGCTAAAAGTCTACAGAATTTTAACAATTTAAAATTTTGGCGTTTATTTGAACGCTTAGTTTGTTGATGCATGCAGTATGCCCTAAAACATTCCGATTGTGAATGTTAAATATCAAACACCCTCTTGTAATGAAATATATGGTGATAACGAACAGTATTCAAGCTCAAAACTCCATAAAACAATACAAAATAGGGGCAGAGCAAACACGGACCTCCAAAACATCAGAGGTGGGATCAGGTGCCATGGAGGAGTGAGCATCCCCTGCCGACCGGTCACACCCGCCGTGTGCTCCTTGTCATGATCGGGAAATAACGGAAAAATCCGTTGACAATTCAGTGTGTAAATAATGGCTTAACAATTAGTATGAAAAACGTCAGTCAGCATTTGACTCACTGATAAATTGTATTTGCTGACAAGGTCATTGTATCGACCATAGAACTTACGAAATGATGACTTTAAACGAGACAGCTGATATTCTTGTCTCATCAACTTATTTGTCAATAATTTACCTCTTTTTAGAAATTGTACATACGTAGAGCATGCTCTTGCGTATCGAATCAGCTGAGAGATATATACCCCGTATGCAGGTGACTTAAAATCTGATCAACTGCTCAACTGCAATATATATGATGGGTTGTGACAGCTAGGTAAGGTGTGTCTATTTTGATACAAAATTGAAATTATTAATTAATCATTTAGTATCCACTAGTTTCAATAAAAACTTCAATAAGCAAATAATAACGCTTGCTAGGGTCATTGGAATAATGTGATATTAACAACTTACAGGACAGACGCTGATATAGAGTTTTAATTTAAATAACTGATGCTGAAAAATTCTCATTTATGTTGAGTTATTTGAAAATGATTAATATAAATCTATGGAAAATGTTTTAGCCATACAATAAAGTAGTTATTGAATTTATTTTGGTGCCGGAATATTGGCATTCGTTGGCTGTACAAATGACTCGTGCATTTATACAACCAAGTAGTGCTAATATTCAGCAACATAAGTTCAATAACCCTACAATATTAGTCATACATGTAGGTATTGCCAAAATGAAAATGCCATGAATGATGTTTCTCAAGATTATTTTGAGGATTTTAAGACTCCATCTAAAATCTCAGTTTTTACATACTAATTGAATAAAATGGTGCTACCCTAATCGTTTTCGATTTTAATTAACAATTTGAAAGTATGTAAGAATTGAAATTATTACCATATGAAAATTTGCGATTTATTTTAATTTGACTTTTGAAAGTTTGATTTCGTAGGCGAGAACAATTTCAAACCTTTTTGTACTACGCGGATAATTACAATCCTTTGTTGTAATTTGCAAAAATATAGGTCAGTCTCCTAGGGAAATTCGAACCCCAACCATTATTAGAAGCAGCAATGGAGGACAAACAAGTGTTGGGGTTCCTTTAAGAGCTTGGGATGTAGTACAGATTCAATGTATTGGAGAAATTGAAAGCATTAATGGTGTACCTAGTCAGGTAATTTAAACTTGTATTTTACGTAATGGAATGAATAAGCTTAATGTTATGCATTAGAGTATTGTGTCTATAGCTCTCTCTAGTTGTGATGTAATAAATATGGAAAATAGAAGTTTTGGATAGAAAATTATATAAAAGAAATACCTATTTTAAAATAGGATTTTCCTTAAAATTAAAATTTTCCTTGACTTCTGTAATTTTTGACATTAAATTTTAAAGATGGTTGTTGAAGTGCAAAATTTAATTCCCTTTTCTGGAGCCACGCGAGAATATAAGTATTTGCACGGATATATACTTGTTTCGTAATTATATATTTATTTAGCTGAATTTGTCTATTTGTTCATTATATTTTTTTTTATCTAACAAATCACATTAATCTCTCTCTCTCTCTCTCTCTCTCTCTCTCTCTCTCTCTCTCTCTCTGTGTGTGTGTGTGTGTGTGTGTGTGTGTGTGTGTGTGTGTGTGTGTGCAGCAGTATTCCTTTTTTTAAAAGCAAATAATTATGCGTAAAAAAGAATAAAGAACAAAAATCATTCATTTTTCGTGTATAGTTACGAGATAAGGAAATTCTGCTGTTCATAATTATCAATGTCCGCAGATATCTAAATTTGCTTTAGTTCTATTTTTGTGACTTCATTTTATGAACATAAAACTCTTTACCCTTTTTGCTGTCTAATACATAATAGTAGTATTACATTAATTCCTGTTTGATGACGATATCCTTTTCCCCACAGCACATTTATGATTACAATGTACCTACAGAATGAAAAAGGTGAAGATAACGAACAGTGATTGATCTCATAAAATCCAAAAACAATATAAATCCACAAACAGGCACAAAACACGGACCCCCGGAAATTCCAGAGGTGGGATCAGGTGCCTAGGAGGAGTAAGCATCCCCTCGACCGGTCACACTCGCCGTGACTCTGTATTGAACAAGTTGAGGGAACACTCCTTAGTCAAATTTAGTAACAAAGGCCTAACAATTGGTATAAAACACGTCAGCCAAAGTAAGATATAAAGATAGGTTACATTTGTTAACAAGGTCATTATAAATATCCAAATATTAAACAGATGTGGCAGACTCTGTGATGTCTTGTATTTCAACTTCTATTTGGATAAATCGAGTCCACGTTTGAATCCAAGTAACTATTGTTAATTGCTATTTGTAACATCATCAATGTATCTGAATGTTGAGTTGAAGGCCAGAGGAAGTTTTCTTCTTCACATGTGAACGTTTTTGAATACATTCTACTTCATAAAAATATAAAAACAGACGGCTAAAGAAGGACCACAATTAATGCCTATCCGAAATTCCAACAGTTTGTTGGTGTTGTTAATGAGGGACTCCTGCATCTCTTTAATGAAGCATGGAGATAACGAACAGTAATCAAGCTCTAAAATCCATTGAAACAATGACAATTTGGAGCAAAGCAAATACGGACCTCTAAAACATTAAAGGTAGGATCGGGTACCATGGAGGAGTAAGCATCCCCTGTCAACCGGTCGACCGGTCACACCGGTAATGTGCTCTTTGTCATGATCGGTCAAACGGAAAAAAATCTGTAGACAATTCCGTGTGTAAATAATAGCCTAACAATTTGTATGAAAAACGTCAGTCAGCATTCGACTTCATGATAGATTGCATTTGCTGAAAAGATCATTGCATCGACAAGGAAGAAGGCGTTGGTTTTCGGTAGCAGATTTTGTCACGTGCCCTTCATGTGTGTTCCGATGTATTCCGATCAGCTCCTGATGAACAAACCAGACTGTTTACATTGCATTTATGATAGCTGTATTTATCAGGAAATATGGAATTTATTTTCACAAGTTTTGTAAGGCCTGTAAATGGATTATATTTTGTGATCAATATGAAGTTTCTCTGATCTGATTAACTTTATAAATATGTTTTTAAAGTCCAAATTCAATCACATTTGCAGATAACAAAACCAAAATTTAATCAAAGTATGACGTATATAATTCAATTAATATTACCAATGACTGTGAATCTACTGGGAGTTGGTAGGTAAAAAAAATATAGTTTTTCAATATCTAATTTCTTGACTGCAGTTGTTACCTAGCTGCGGTCGACTATCGACATATAACTATACCATTTAAAGATAAACAATACTTCTGAAACATTTCTTAATTTTATCTATTGTACTTATTAAAGTTATAATTTAAAAACGTAGATTAGAATGGAAAAAAGCAGAATATCTCAATTATATCCCAACAGCCCTCCCATTTAGATCGCAGTAAGCTGAAATCCCTACCCCCTCACCCCACCTCCTTTCCTTGCGAGAAACACCTACACGCATTGACGCTTATATCTGAGTGTGACGCAGAGGTGGAAATTACTCTCGATCCACAGGGGGACTGTCCATTGTGTCAAATTGTTATCTTGCATGTGTGTAACAATATAGCTGGTGACAGAATTTCGTCAGATTATCGTATCGAAACAACATCATCATTATATTCTGACCTTGGCGACGTATGTAGACTTTTCTTATATAATCTGTAATACTGCTCATTGGCCAAATTTTAAATGAAGAATCACCGGAATCATCCGACCTACAGTTTTCATACGTGCTCAAGAAAATTGTATCTTGTAATTGGGCATTTTCAAGTCTTACTGTAGGTTTTTATTATTATTTTTTTTTTTTTTTTGGGGGGGGGGGGTTAACTATTTAATTAATATAATTATAAACATATCTATATAACTTCAAATTGCTGGAGGATCAAAACTTTCAATTTACCTACTTTTTTTTCTTTGTTAAATATGTCAAACAAGTATACGGTACACTAGTAATACAATTTTCTTGAAAGCCTTTTTTACTACGTGTTTATAGAAATGAAGTAAGTAAATTCACAGGCATAAGTGCAATAGTTTTTTTCCTTATCTTCTTTTGAAATAGGAAAAGAGGATTTGATAATAAAATTAATATAAATGAAGATTTATATAAACAAACATTTTACTTTGTCTTTCAGCATGATTTTCGCCATTTCTTTTTTCTTTTATATTTTGTGTATGTGTATTCCATGTAATTCACATTGTAAAGCAGAAAAGAAATCGCTTAAGGTTGTATTTTTAGAAAAAAAAAAAGGAATGGGAATCAAAGAAGAAATTTTTTTTCTCCACTGTACGAGTAGATGTACTTCTGTCGTATTTTTATTCGTTCCTCTGTCAATATTTGTATAAACTCTTCATCAAACAACAACCCTTTAAAAGACTCCTTCTTATTTACCGAATTCGTTAATTTATGTATGAAATATGAATATAACAAACAGTAAACAAGTTCAAACGTTCATTCAAACAATACAAATTGGGAGTAGAGCAAACACGGACCTATAAAATACATAAGAGGGATCAGGTCGAGGGTCCCATCTCATGCACAAATTGGAGGATATCGACACCTTCTAAAGCAGATGACTGTCGGGGTTTCAGTGGGGATTTTCTTTATTATAAATAACAGAAGAATCAATTGAAAGGCTTTCATAAATTGACTCGCCTCCGAAGTTTCGTCGAATTAAACGAACGACTGGGATATTTGAAATTGGGGAAAATAACTTCTGTGCTAAATGTTTTAGGATACAATGACAACTTTTATTAACTAATCGTTTATTTTCAAACCATCAAATCTTTACGCATATTCAAAGTAGAAAACGTCAAAAAATGAAAAGTGCGTTAAAGTGTGTGATTGCTGGGTACCAGTATATTATATGTGTTAAAATGTGTGACTGAGGGGAGGGGGTTACATGCGTTTCGTATTGATTATAGGCAAAAACCAACATTTGATCGCAAAATCTTGATGAAAAATGTTTTAAATATGAAGATGAATGCTATTATATTATTAGCAAACTAGTTTTTAATAATTGATAAAGTGTTTTTAAAGAATATCAGATGGTGCAAGAAAACCTCTGGAAAGTTTACTGAAATAACCTTACAAGATCCTCCAAACACTGTCTTGGTATGGAGCAGCAGAGATGGATGCACAAATATACAAAAATCTGAAATATTTTACCATATCATGAAAAATGATACAAACTTTGAAATTATGTGTGAATCGGGATACAATACATACAATGCTGAATGTGGACAAGGGAGTGCAAAGTCAACAATTTTTATAAACACGAACATTTCGACAGAGGGTAATTACATTATATAAATTAAAATTACACATCATGATAATCAAGCTTAATTGTTAAATATATTTATTGACATTTTTTCTGTATATGTTGTGATTATACTTTTTGAGAAGCTGAGGGACAGTGGAAGGTATCTCCTGTATTGCTTTACGACGAAAATGGGGTCATAAATGAACATTTCAATACCCATGGAATTGGTAGAACCTTTCATCTTATGTGTAGCGCATCCTCATTCACAACTAAAGAACAGGTAAATGTAGATATATATCGTTATGAAAAAAAATGTATTTAAAAATTCTAAAACTTCTCTGTGTCTAGTAGATTCAAGCTAAGTCATTCGAAAAACATTGACTCTGAGTTTAAATGAGTTTTATTTATTTATTTATTTATTTTTTTTTTTTTTTATAATTTTTCTTGTTTTCTGCATATTCTCTTTTAGACGATTAACTGGTGTATCAAAAAGACAGAAAATGCTAACTGGACCAAAGTTGTCACACAAGAAGATGAAATAAAGTCTTCATCAAATAAGAATGGAGAAATCATAATGTTCAGTAGAATAACTTATCATGTAACGGAGTATGACAAGGTCCTGACCTTTTCCTGTGAAATTTCTGCTTCATCTTCCAGCTTGTGTGGATCTGGGTTAAGTTTTACAAGTCACAAAATTTGGATAAATGGTAATATTTTATGTTTGTGAAATAAGTGAATGAGATTTTGCTTTGCTCTACCTATTTTAAATGAACTGAAGACAACGATGTACTTTGCAAAAAGAGGGATTATTTGATAAGTAGAAAATGTATTTCCTCTAATTCAGGTTAAAAGTGTGTCGTACATTTTACAATTACTAGTATGCCTTAAACAATCGACATTTATGTGACATTTTTGAATCTGTATTCATGACATCAAAAACGTAATCATATTTTTTTTACTACTATGCATTTAAGTACCCGTCGGCTCTAATTTTCGAATAGAAACAAATGTTTTCTTTCTTCTCTCTCTTTTTAAGCCCACCAAACGATCCCATCTGAAACAAAAAGAAGTTCTGCCTCTGTTGCCGTTTTATCCGTGTTGCTGTGTTTGGTTCTGATAACAGTTGTTGCTCTTGTGATAATAACATACAGAAGAGGAAAATTGACCATATTTGGTTAGTCATACTTGTTTTTTTTTTTTAATTGAGACACTGCATGTTACAAAATTATAATATCAGTTAATATACATGTAATTTATGGATCTATGGAATTTTCTTTTGAAATAAATTAGAGACGTTGTGGATTTGTGTATAATAGTGGTTGTCAAATTAAAAACAGTAACAATCGGAGAAATACTTGTTAGCTATATGTTTGACAATACTAATCATTTTTAATTCAATTACGTTTTTTAGGCATTGTGTTCAAGATTGAGAGGTACGCACAATTAAGAGATTATCAAAAGTAGATGAATGATAAACCTTCGTCATTTAAACACTTTTTTAAATGCAGGAAATGTTCATGAATTTCAAACATTTTATATCTTTTGTATTGCTTTCTAAAACATCCTTTATTTATTACTTTACACTGCTTGGTACAGTGCAGGGAACTAATTTTGTTACATAAACCAGCATCAGCATATGCATTAGTAGCATCAGGATCAAGCTAGCATCAGCATCAGCATGTAAAAAACAGCATTACCAGGATCAGCATCAGCAAGCAAAGGATAAAACCAGCATTGACCTGCATAAAATCAGCATTATCCTACTAGCATCAGAAAATCAATGAGTTTTAATTCGGTAAAAAATTAAAAAAGAAAGAAAGAATATTGGTTAAAGTATTCACATTACTGATACATAGTTAGATATTATGATCAAATAATTGTAAAAGGCACTTTTATTGCTTTAAACGGCAATGCTGAAATTCATTATCTACTTCCGGTAGCATGATGCTACTTCCGGTAGCATTGACCTAATTATAAAACAACATCAGGATAAGGATTACCAGCATTAAATCAGCAAGCAAAGGAAGTATTAAAATCAGCATCGATGCTGTAACAAAATTAGTTTCCTGTACTGTACAATATTGAGAGCATTCAATAAATCGACAATGTTGAGAATATACATAAATTTCAGGAGCAACCATCAATTTCAAGTATCAGAAGATGTGAATAAAGTTATTTCAGGTAATTATACACATTTTACACTACATTTGACTACGGCTCATTCCTATGAATTAACTGGTCAATACATAGGGGTTCGGAGGGTATGTCCGGTCGACAAGGGATGCTTACTCCATCTAGGCACCTACTCCTACTTTCTGGAATTTCCAAGGGTCATTGTTTTATACCCTGTTTACAGATTTATATTCAATTTCGTAGATGTTTTGTAATCGACGACTGTTCGTTATCTTCTCGTTTTTTTTATTTAACGCTAACCTTATATAACTATTTTTTTTATATAATAATAATAAAGCAATAATTAAAATATCTATTTTTAACATTTTTTACTTAATGCAGAAAGAGTAGAAGGCGTATTAAGAAAAAAAAATCTTGAAGTTTTTCAAACTATCTACGTGGTATATGTATATATAATTTTACTAATCTAAACTTCTAACCCGTTATTCTATGCACAGTATATGTTACATTGCATTACGCAATGTTGCTAGCAGTTACATTGTAAGAAGCTTAAAGAACAACCAATATGTAATTATTGTTTTTAATATTATGTTATCAATTAATATTGTTTTAATTATGGATGTAATTAATGGAAGACCTTTCTTCTGCTTGTGACCAACATTTGAATGAATAACTGCTTGACATCTTTAAATTAGGATTTTACAAATACAAAATCATCGTGTAACGATCTTGAAGAGCTGATGTTACCCGAAATCTTGATAGTTGACGAAGGTCAGCAAAACTCCATTGCTAAAAGTTATGGTATAACGAATTAACTTTTTAATGGTCGCGACGCAATTGCTTCACCTTAGCCTTGTTAGTTTTGTGTGACTTTATGCATAAATCACTAAGAATCAAAATTCAAACTTCCCAGAGCAATAGAAATAGCGATAAAAGCAGAGCGTGACTTTTATGCTGCAACAAACTTGTATCTATCAATGGCTATTTTGCGCCCCTTTGGGACAAATCACTGCATTTCTGTATTTTGGTTACTAGTAAATGGTTCATAAAAGATTTTAAAAGAGAATTTAATTTTTGTTTCTTACATGAATCACTTCTTGTCGAAAAAAGTGCTGAGAATCCCAAATTTTATTGATAATGTTTGACACCTACTGATGATGAGCTGTTCTAGTTATACATAGACACCATTTTTCCATCACTCACGGTACATAGCCTAGTGTTAGGGCGTTCGCTTCATGATCAAGAGGCCCGGATTCGATTCTACGTCAAACCTAAGACGTAAACATAGGTAGTGACTGTTCCTTCGCCAAACTCATGGCACAAGAAGTGAAAGTCGGGGGTCTTTCGGATGAGACCTTAACAACCGAGGTCCCTTGTTACGATGAGCGCTGACACAATAAAGAATTCCAATTGCTCAATTTAGAGTGCCAAACATAGGTCTAAATTTGAAGTCAATCACCGGTATATGACGACGTCTCTGTTTGAATAAAATATTATCGAATGGGACGAAAAACAACATAAAATAAATCAATCAATATTTTCCATTACGATAAAGGCGTCATAGGTCTACAGATTTTACAGTGATGATAATATTATTGATGTTAAAAGACCGTATCTTACTAACAATCATATCTTACTAACAAAGAACCCTGTAAATATTTGTATGATATATTTGTAGGACAGAACTTACGAAAATAAATTAAATTTTGTGGCAAGTAAGAAATTTTTTATTTCTATATTTAAACTGTAAATTTTTTTTCAGTGCCTTCACAATCAATGTCAACGAAAAGGTATGTTTCCTTTCACTTTATTCTGAAATAAATATTAAATTAAATAAATATGCCAAGCTGATTATTATTTTGCTAAGGAAGTCAATATTTTCATAGAAAAAAAAACAACTTTTGCTTATAAAATAAGTATCATATGCCCTTAAAGGAAAAATTTGTTGAAATTCATTGTGATTTTTTTTAACATTTCAAAATATTTTCTACATAAATGACATCTATTCATTTGATAACAAAAGTAATTTGTAACTTTTGCACAGTGTATCAAAATCAAGTGTACGATATATTGAAGAACCAATTAAAAGAAGTTCTATAAGCAACTCAATTAAGACAGGTAGTTTGAAATTTCACACTTCATCACTTCATTTCATTCAGCTAGTTTTGTTTTTGTTTTCACATACATAATAATTTTAATGAATTACTTATTTGATTTATTTAGTCAAAATACATCAAATAATATTCATTTATTTATTGATTGATTTAATACACTTGTTTTTCTAATACACTTGTTTTTTTTCTAGTTGTTAATGATATTTAAATTTTGAGATTTAAATTTTGTATCATTTTTTTTTCAAATTTCTTTAATTATCATTTCTGCTTTGTTTAAAAAAAAAATTTTTCCCAAAATGCTATTCGCATCCTTATCATTAAAGACATTTATCGTTTGCAGACACTAAAAATGAAAAAGAATTTGAAGATGATACACAGTAAGTATGAGTGATTTTGATACTCCCGCCAAATCAATTTACTCAATGTAAATGGTAGTCTATGATGCCTTTCAAACCGTTAACCAAACTTATTTTTGTCTATCCAAGAGGGTTGTATGAAGAAGCAGAGTGCAATTTGGCAGTGCAAAGACAAAGCTTTTATGAAAATGAAGCTTTAAAAAACGAAAATTTGAATGAAGTAGAAACATCAAAACACATAGATGAACCTGAAATGTAAGTGACAACAATAATTTCCTTACAACTATTATCTAAAAGAAAAATAATTCTTTCTGTGCATTAGAAAATATAACTACAAGTTACTATAGTATATATACACAAAGGTTGCCCGAGTGGCGCAGTGGTTAGAGCGTTTGCTCTATAGTTGTGGTGTTAGGAGTTAATCCTTACGACGCAGGTTCGAATCCAATTGGGATGTGGAGACCGGTCCTTCGGATGAGACCGTATAAAACGAGGTCTCGTGTCCCAGTAGGTGCTGGCACGCAAAACGCTGATCAATGGCCCTGAGTGCTGAGTGTAGGTCAAAATTTGCAGCCCTCCACCAGCAAGTGGTGGTGTCTCCATATAAATGAAAAATTCGAGAGATGGACGTTAAACAACATATATATATATATATATATATATATATATATATATATATATATATATATATATATATATATATATATATATATATATATATATATATATATATATAATAATAATAATAATACTTTTGAGAATTTCAAAGAAATTATTAAACGTCACAAAGGTGGCAACACACGACAAACTGTTTTACAGACTTTTTATTCATTTAAGGAGGATAAGATATGGTGTTCTAGTGATGAGAGGATTATGGAAAGAAATAAGCAATGTAATGTGTAACTGGGCTATCAAAATACTTATTGCATTAATATAAATAAATTTAAGTTTACTTAAATTTTTTTATTGTAATCAATAAGTGTCCTCCTTGAATGTTCAAGTCTGAAATATTGTATAGTGATGTATTATAATGGTCATTTTGTTTCATGTCTTAGGAGAGGCAGAGATTGACCAATCAAAATCAAGCAATTAAAATTCTGGCCACGCGGTGCGTCACTCTGCCTCTTCTCCCACCTACAGCCTTGGAGGACGGACGTTTTTTCAAGTTTGTTATTTACCTCCTTCCACCCCGCCTCCGCCAAAATTTTTGGTTGTAATTTTATATTTTAAGCGTTTTCAGACCCATTTTCATGATTTTTCTGTTAAGTCTAAGTTGTAATTTCTGGGAATTTGGATTATCTCCCTTTACAAAATTGGTTTATTTCTCATATTTATATTTTGTGTCTGCTAAAATTATATGCCATTGTTAATAATACTTTTGAGAATTTCAAACAAATTATTAAACGTCACAAAGGTGGCAACACACGACAAACTGTTTTACAGACTTTTTGTTCATTTAAGGAGGATAAGATATGGTGTTCTAGTGATGAGAGGATTATGGAAAGAAATAAGCAATTTACTGTGTAACTGGGCTATCAAAATACTTATTGCATTAATATATATATATATATATATATATATATATATATATATATATATATATATATATATATATATATATATATATATATATATATATATATATATATATATATATATTCGTTTTTTTTATGTATAATATGAAATTTGTGTGATATTATTCCACTCATAGTGATCATAATTAAAACTAAATTAAACTAAATCGGACTGAAGAACCTTTTATTGATAGTTTTTGTAATCGATACAGTTATTTTCAATAAAAACAAGAAAAAATTACAATTTCATTATTACAATTTAGTGCTTAGATTAAAAGTTTAATTTTTTGTTATATTATTAGATCATTAAAAAAACACAGTTCATTTTTTTCTACAGATGTGACTATGATGAGTTGCACATTGAAGGAGAACAACAAGACTATGAAGATCTGAAATTATAGATATTTAAAAAAAAAGATCAATGACATTTCTTTCTTGATATGAAAATACAATATATAATGACATATACATAAAAGAAAAATGAAATTATGAGACTCTAAGAATAATGAGGTTGATTTATTACAATGGAACACGTTTGAACAAAATCTGCATATTTTGTACATATATATTGCATATGTGTGTATAGTATCTCATTACTTGTATTGTATGTATATCACAAAAAAATTATTAATTAGAATAACAAAAATCAAATAAACCACGTGTGTATTTTTATTCCAGGTACCTAGAAATGAGTGAAAACACATTTTTGAAATAGAAAATTAAAGTGTTTTTCAGGCATTTGCATGGTAAATCAAATATGATTAAATTGACTATGACTACTAATTTAAAAAAAAAACCAAACAAACTTGAAATAGATTATTTTACAGATGGCTAATGATATTATATTGTTCAAGGTGGTTAAGAAATATGTAAAATGATGTAAAAGGCATAAAAAGACCTAAAAAGCAGGTTTGCATAACTGAAATACAATTTTCTAAAGTATAAATGTTAGGGAAAAAATACAATTGGCTTAATTTGGTAACTGTGCTAAAAGAAATCCCTAACAAGTATGAAAATGTAGATTTCCGTTGAATTTTATATAGGTAAGAAGATAGTTAGGTAGTGCTTGTGTCCATTTTGTTTACATACGATAGCTCATTTGAAAGCAAATATATATATATATATATATATATATATATATATATATATATATATATATATATATATATATATATATATATATATATATATATATATATATATATATATATATATATATTATTATTATCAAATCAAATTAAAAATTAGTTTACCTCAGGTTTTTCTTTTTCTTTCTTTTTTTTTTTTTTTTTGATATAGGTTTTTGAAAAAGAAATTTTATGAATATAAAATTTCAGAAAAGGACTTCGCCTCAACAGATGAAGGTGCTCGGATTACTTTTGTGTTTATGTTGTGAACTAACACTAACCACTTTTACCTACCCAGAAGAGAAGAAAATGAATAATAATTTTCTATTGCGGTTTCCACAGTACATGTAATATAAAAGGCTACATTTTATCAAACGTCGTGAATTACAGTATAATTTGATTTAAGTTCTGTGTCGGCGTTTCACTCTTTACTACTTAAAATAATGCATATTTCAGTTAAAATAAGTTTGAGTATTTTCTCCAAACTTATGTCACACAAGTTTACACTACAATGTGTAGTGTCAAACCATTTTATAGAATCATCAGTTTATTCGGAAATTCAGAGTTAATGTTGGTATTCTAGGCGACATTTTCCTCCTTTGATGACCCAAAAACCTTGTAGATAGGTGTCATAAAGAATGAGAATGTAAATTTACTATTCTTATCCTCTGAAGATAAATATTCCTATTTGAATGAGAACAAACAAAACACAATAATGAGGAAGTAAAACTCCCATCAACCTTGGCATTTAATGCAGGTATTTTTATTAATTAGTAGCCACACGTAATAGCTTGGACATATAGCTGATATATGCAATGTAACAACAACTACACAAACCTATTCATCACATGTCTAAATTGTTTTTCCTGCATGTACATACATACAGTTACTTTTGTTACAGTAAAATTTTAACCGAATACATTTAAAGAAAAACATTTAGAACTTTTTTCCTATCGCTTTTTTAAACATAGCTGAGAATGAGTTTATTCTCACCCAGATAGCTCTCTACAATTTAAAGCATTGTTTTGATCTTTTTAACATTTTTTCCCTATTTTACATTGTGTATCACAGCTCTCAAAAAGGATAGAATAGGATAAAATACGTACATTTATACAAGTAGGATTGTCCACAAAACCCGGAAGTCAAGGAAATTCCTGCAAATAATGATGTTTTTTCCCGACTACAGTGTCATTCCGGTAACATTTCGAATTATATACATGTATCTGTCACTCATCCTAAATGCGTTCCTGATTGTTAATCTATTAATAATTGATATATATTATCTAATTTATCCCTATTTCTGCCTGTAGTTTGAGTTTACATCAATATTTTACTATAAAACCGAACATGTACATTGAATTTTTCTGTAACCATACGTAGACGCGATGTGATATAATGCACAATGTAAATGATTCTGAATTTTTACAACATTAGTAATCAGTTAATTGTTATTAGGTAGCTTATTTGATGTTATAGACAGAAATGTTTAAAAAATTAAAGTAAACCGAAACAACAACAAAAAAATATTTGCCAAAAAATTGATTGAAAGGAAATTCAATAATATATTGAACTGTAAGCGAGATCAGAAAAAAGGTCCATGAACATGAAATATCGACAACTTTGCATATGCTCTTGTCATATTCAAATACTAGCCTAAAAGGATTCATGCAAAAAAAAAAAAAAATAAATAAAAAATAAAATAAAATAAAATAAAATAAATAAATAAATAATTTCCTTTATTAAAATATAATTTGACTAGCAAATGCTATATTTTTTATGAATCGTTATAGCAAGAGACAATAAAGCTTGTTTAAACATATTTTTGGTAAAAAAAAATGAGATCCAGATAAAAATAATTCTTGTAAGTTTATATTAGTGTGATCTAAAATTAAACTTTTTTCCCGCTTAAAAAATAAAAAAAATGCACAACTCATTAAGGACGTCTACCACGTATTGAAAAGAGCCGAGAAAAATTGCAGACAACCAAGTGACTACAAGCTGAGCAGATGATATTTTGATTGACCACCAGTCTTCAAATATTAAAATAATGTCTGATATCCCTCGTTTTTTATTAAACATTACACACATCGCTGCATTATTCCCAATTACAGTATGTTATTTTTATTTTCAAACAAGCAATAATTTGAATCATACAGACCTTACTCAACTCTTCAATAATGAATCCTCTTCTTTATGCCCTTCGATAAATCTTGTATGATCTATAGAGAATGGTAACTTATGCACATGGATAACATATCAGTGAGTATTGTAAGTTTTTATATCATATACCTACTTAGTCAAAATGTTAAATAACTTAATTATAAACTGGAGTCTCTTGGTTCAATCTGCAAAATTAAAAAACAAATTATTTCCTTTGCGCGCACGTGCGAGAGAGAGAGAGAGAGAGAGAGAGAGAGAGAGAGAGAGAGAGAGAGACAAACTATGAACGTCACCTATTATAAAATCCATGTAAAATTGAGCTATACGAGGACACGTCGGCAATAAGGAAGCACTTCAGTACTAGTATCCTACTGGTTTGAAAAAAAAAAAATAGTGTTCACAAGTTGAATTCGTTTCCATTATCAAAGCTTATCAAAATAATTTCCTCATTGAAAAGTGTCGTTAGGAAAGAAAAAACCCATAATTTTTTTCCGCTTAGATAGCTTGTGAATGGTTCTCAGAAACAATTGATGTACATGAATTTCGTTTGGCTTCATATGAAGCCAAAAGCATGTACAATTTCATTTATCTCAGATTCCCTATAAATCAAACAAACAACAGAGATAATATTTTGCTTGTTTCATTTGGCGCTTCTGGCCGCGGTGATCAATTTGCCGGGGCTACCACAGGGCTGCCCCACAATCAACAATCAATACAACAAATGCGACGATCCAAATCGGGCGGATCTTGCAGTGGGTAGGTCACGAGTGCATGAACGTCACCATTTCAATTATCAATCAAGTTCAATCAATCAATCATCTATCAATCAAACAATTCAATATCAATCAAGTCAACTGCTTGTCAATGACAAGCCAATGCCCAGATTCAAATCCTGAATTTCAATTTACATGTGCAATAGGATAAACAATGGAATGAGCGTAAGAATATGTGTTGCACTCCTCCAGTTGCGTCGAGGTGCGACGGAATACGCAAACACACAGAATTATTACTGCGACATAGGCTGAAGTGGACTCTGTACCGAGCAGGCAGTCTTCACGGAAGAATTCACCACCTTGACATACACTGTAAGCTGATGTGGACGCTGGACCAATCAGGCTTTCTTTACGGAATACGCAAACACACAGAATTCACCATCGTAACATAGGCTGATGTAGGTGCTGGACCAAGCAAGTTGTCTTTACGGAATATGCGAACACACATAATTCACCACCGCGATATAAGTTGTTGTGGAAGCTGGACCAAGCAGGCAGTCTTCAGCTACAATGACATAACAAAAAGCAGCAGTATTTGTTCTAAAAACAAGAGGAGAGTGGGTGGTTAAAATTTAAAACATTGCCACAATTTAACTTCCTAAAATTTTCCATGATAATATACCGTTTAATCGATTTCTTCGAAAAAGAAGGTAAAAAAGAACTTATTATTAGACTATGTACAAATGGACCTAAATTATCCGGAATGATAGCTTGTGACTAAGGGTGAAAATTTACATATATTCGAATGTACGTAAATTATCCGGAATAAATAAATATAACTAGGGTTACTGAAATAAACTCATTTCTCCTAGACCAAGCTCGTATTAGTGGTGATATTTGCGATTATTCGGCATTGTTATTGTTTGAATAGTCATATTGTTCTCTGACTCTTTACATCCATCGATACATGTCAGGCCCGTAGGATACAATTTCAGTTTGGGGGGCACAGCCAAACATTTTTCAGTTGACGTCAACTACCAAATATTCCTTGACAAGCAAAAAAAAAAAAAAAAAAAAAAAAAAAAAAAGGTCATCAGGCGGTTTTATTGAGGGGGCACATGCTTATAGTATCTATGTTTACTATAGTAATCTATATATCGGCAAAATTATTGGGGTGGGGGCCCCCCCGTGCCCCCCCCCCGGTTCCTACGGCCATGCATGTTTACCTTTGATCGTATGTAAACAAAGTGTTAGAATTATCTGTAATCATTTTCCAATATAAGATCAAGACATAAAAAATGTAAAACACTTTTGTAAAAAAGTAGGTACATAAAACAATAATGAGAAGTCCAATGGCATAATTGTTTTTTCCCATTTGTCACTGTTTGTTTCAGCTAATTATATCAAAATAAAGTGTGCGAGAAAAAAAAGATTGGAATTGAAAATACGATTTATTTAATCCAATTTTGTGCGCAGGACATACACTATCACTACGGAAGCCCATTTAGGACCTAAAAAATTGCTTTAAATTCGATTTTTGGAATTCTCGAATTTATTATACCGATTGAATTCGCTATAACAATTGTTTGAATTCATCATAACGAATTAAATTTGTTGAGTTCGTTATAACTTATTCAAAAATTTCTTATAACATATTAAATTTATTTTAAACAAATTCTAAAATTTGTTATAACGAATTAAATTCCTTTAATTATATTCAACAATAAGGACCTATAGCAAAATATGTATGAATTCGATATAACGAATTGTCGAATTAGTTCAAACAAATTTAATTCATTATAAATTAAGATATTCGTTTCAACGAATTTAATTTGTTATAATAAGTTTTAGAATTCGTTAAAACGTGTTAAATTCGTTATAATAAATAATTGAATTCGTTATAACAAATTCAACATTTTTCTATAATAGACTGAATCCATTATAACGAATTAAAAAAATGATTTAGCAAATTTAATTCGTTATATCAATTTCGACAATTCATATCGAATTCAAAAATATTTTGATAGGTCTTAAATGGGTTTCTGTACTGACACAGGGTCCCCCACCCACTTCTGGAAATTTAACCATGGAGGAAGCTGCTCAACGTGCGATCGAAAACACAAATACGTGTTTAAGCCTTAAAACTTCACTAAAACAATGGTAGATTTCACAAATATTTTTTTTACATGTCAACATCACAAGTTGAAATAAAAAGTCATTATACAGAATTTTATCGCATAATGTACCTTACAAATGTACCAAGTGTTATTAAAATCAAATCATATCTATCAATGATCATCACCGAATTCTTTAAGTAAGCATTGCAACATTGCCCCTTGAATTTAATTGAAATAATGATACATTTAATAATGACAAGTTTTATTGAAATTGGACCAAAACGGACGACGAAGTGGCATTTTTGGAATTAAAAAAATAGAAGAAAAAAATTACAGACACACAAATGAACAGACAGACGGACGCCGACATCTTGAGATTGCTCTAACTTTTCTCTGCATGGTCTTTCAAAATCAGTTGATAATATATATTGCAGGTATCAAATCAGAGGTATATCTCTTCTGTTGGACCTGACTGTACTAAAAAAAGAACCAAGCGACTATTCATACAAACAAATGGTAACTCTTAAACTTTGACTTAGTGATAAATTGTTTATTAAAACTGGAGCCATTCTAATTTATGCCTTGATTAGAAAGATGTAAAGAACAAACAAAAACAGAAAATCCCTTACTGCTCAATGGCCCTGAGTGCCGAGTATAGGTCAAAATTTGCAACTCTCCACCGGTAAGTGGTGGCGTCTCCATATGAGTGAAAAATTCTCGAGAGGGACGTTAAACAACAAAAAAACAAAAATAAAAACTGGAACTCAGATCAGAATGAAATTTGGCACACACATAGTCATTAATATGTTCTATAAATTGAAGATGTTAAATAATATTTTGCTCCATGTTATGACGTCACATTGTGAAAATGACGTTAATATGTATATGACTTGTGACAAAAAAAAAAAAAAACGTTGACTCAGTCGTTCTCGAGCAAGGAACAGATGTAAAGTTTCACGTAAATCTTGGAAATTCCTTTGCAGTAGCATGTAATAATTTGTACAAGGTTTATGAAGACAAAGGACTTGTCAGAAGTTCAATCATTAATTTGATTGATTGTTTTAGTGAATAAGGGGAGATGGTTAAAAATGATATTCGTTCTGATGCCCAATGAAATTAGGCTGGGAAAGAGATGTGTCCTTTGTTGAGCAATTTGTTCTGAAAGATCACTAAGTTGCAGTTAGAAAAAAAGTAGAATATCTTAACAATAAAATAGATATTAAATTCCTAACATATTTACTTTAAGCATACCAGATAAGATAAAGAAAAGACGCCCATACTTGATCCACTTTGTATAAACGACATACACAAGACAGAGGAGTCACCATGCTCATTCTGGGAAAAGATATCCTTATCCACCCATCTAATTGCCGAGATTTTGCAATTTGTGACAAATGGATTATACTTGTTATAAAAATTTACTGCATGGTAAGAAATAAGACGCCTAAATGTCAGCTGCTGTGAACAGTACGTTACGGACCATGTCACGTGACCGCCTGGACCACGTGTTTTGCGCGCCTGGGCAGAACGTTTGCAGATGTGCATTAACACCAGAGGAAACTACTTTGAAAAATAGTAAAGAATGAAACCTAAATTTATTTCTTTTATGGAAGTAATTCAATTAGTTTGCGAACTTGTGATCACCCTCGTATTTACTGGTCCCCACTGACAAAAGGTAACGACATTGTTATGTTTGTGAGGCTCATTATTTGAATTGCATTTTAAAAGAGCTTAGATTTTATTCTGCAAGTGGAAATCCAACTTATACCCCTAGCTCCCTTTCTAAGGGGGCAGGGGGTCTCAAAACCATATGTCAGTTTAAAATATTTTTAATATTCCAAACAATCAATTAGAATTTGAATTAACATACTTGTATTGGATTTCAAATTTATAAAAATCCTTTCAAACAAAGATACATAGCTGGTTCCTGTAAATGTTCCCCAATTCTCTTTCTTTACTTCTCACTGAAAATATTTAAAGCAGTTAAGGGGAAATTTCAGGAGTGCTGTACAACAGTATATTCAATAAGTGGTATAAATTAAATGTGGATACTTAGAAACTCCAAGGAACTTTAAAAAAACTGAAATCACAAAATTTTAACAAAATCAATTACATAAAAATTGCTTACAATTTTTTATACACTTTTACAACCATTCCTCACGAAAAATTAAAGTCTAGGGGCCCATTTTACAAAAGAACGTACGACTAAGACCAAAAACTTAAGTTAATTATAAAATTTTGCATAATTAATGATTCTGTTTAAACTTGCTAGCGTAAAAGTATCTTTCTACATACCTTTTGAAGATATCAAAACCATTTTCTGTTTAATGTAAATTAGAAAGTTATTAGCATAATTAAATTTTGATCTTAGTCGTAAGTTCTTTTGTAAAGCTGGCCCCAGGTTTTTTGGCATGATACAAACGTGATACAAACGTGATGGAACTTGTAAATATGCTTACTTTATCAATGGTCATTTGCAAAATTATTTTGTTAAAAAACATTCTGGTTGTACAACCAGGTACTCTAAATTTAATACTAAAAAGATGCTTGAGTTTCTGATTGACAATATCCATGTAGTGTTTGGTGATAAGGTCTTCCTACAATATGTTGCAATTCCCGTGGATACCAATTGCGCCTCCGTATTTGCTATTTTTGTTTTCATATGAAGCAGAATTTATTCAAAATCATCTACATTAGAAGAAGAAAACACTTGCCGTGGCCTTCAACTTGACATTAAGATATATCGACGACGTACTATCAATTTATAATAGTTACTTCTATCAATATGTCAACTCTATACTGTATACAGGAAAAGGTTCGCCTACACTACATTTTATTTTTGACACGGTCGACACAAGTGGGCGAATTTAAGACATGACGAATTCAAAGAAGACAGTATTATTTCTTAAACAAAACTTTGACTGAGCGAATTCAAAACGGCACAAAATTGTGTTCAAGTGTGAAAGAGCGAAAATAATACAGGGCGAAAATAATCCTGTATACAGTATATGTCCCAGTGAGTTTGAAATAAAAGATACAAAAGAGTCTGACGCATCTGTTTCATATTTGGATAATCTTCTAGAAAAAGACGTTAATGATAACCTAACAACAGAGCTTAAAGATACACGTGATGAATTCAATTTTTGAATCGTCAACGTCCATTACTTATGTAGCAATATACCCTTATCACCTGCAAATGGTGTTTTTGTCTCCCAGTTGATTCGACAAGCAAGAGTATGCTCTACGTATGAATAATTTCTCAAACGAGGTAAGCCATCGACAATCAAATTGATGAAACAAGGATATCAACAATCTCGCTTGAGGTTATCATTTTGCAAGTTTTATGGTCGTTACAATGACTTTGTCAGCAAATACAACTTATCACTAAGTCAAATGCTGACTGACGTTTTTCATACTAATTGTTAGGCCATTTTATATACACTAGATTGTCTACGGATTTTTTTCGTTTTTTCCCGATCGTGACAAGGAGCATACAGCGGGTGTCACCTGTCGACAGGGGATGCCTACTCCTCCATGACACATGGCCCCACCTCTGATGATTTTGGATAACCGTGTTTGCTCTTCTCCCGATTTGTGCGGAAGTCGGAAAATTTCAACTTTATATTTTGTTTGCGACGCCTTAAGTATTTAAAATACTCATTTAAATTAATGGTTAAGGGTTAAATAAATATGAAAAAACTATAAGATTTACTTTCATATAGTAAAAAGGCTAGATTTAATTCATTGTTCTTTTTCCTTTACTTTCATATAGTAAAAAGGCTAGATTTAATTTATTGTTCTTTTTCCCTTAGTTTGCTGAACGCACTAAATGCATTAAAATTCATACATATGAAATAAACAAAAGTTCTTGTAGACTATAAATAGTTCGCGTCAAATGTGTGCAAGTATCCAAAGATAAAGGCTGGCAAAGCATATATATTAAGTACTACCAGTACCGCCCGTCTTTAAATCTCCATAAAAACTTTTTTAACATTTATCAAGATATTTTATCAACAGGGACATTAAAACACAATTTTACTTCCCCGTTCTAGCGATGGATGTGTTGATTTTGTTTATCGTGTTCTGTCCATTTTGTAAAGGTATGTCAATACTTTTTTGTCCTTTAAGGTAGCATGCATTGATAGAAATAGTACTGTGGAATCATTAAAATTTGCAGGGGGCAATTTTTGCGGATTACGTAAATTTACTGGCACGTGGGGACTTAATTTTGTGTATTCTCTAATACCTACAAAAGGAAGTATGACTTTGTAACCTTAATCTAATAATTTGTGGAGAATGTAAATTCGTGGATCAGAGGTACCCACGAATTCCACGAAAATTGAGCCACCATGAAATCTAATGATTCCACAGTATTCCATTTGGACCTTTCTCACAAAATGTATATTATTCATACAGGGACTTGGTACTTGTCTGTGAGCCCGACGACTATAATCGGGGAAAATAACGTTACCCTCTCCTGCGATTACCATGAAATCTCTAATAGAAATAATATTATTCCTGAAGTGGTTATGGAAATCCGACAAAACAACAACAGAGATTGGAAAGAACTTGCAAAGACTAACATCACAGGGTCATACATCCTCAAAACGTATCAGAACTTGGGAATTTATATTTCTCCTTACAGTTGTTCTGCAGATAGCTCTTATATATCATGCAGTGTAAGGATTGTTATGTCGTTTACACTGAGCAGATGTACAATTGACCCTCACTCCTACTCAGTCTTCCGATGTAAAGTGTCCAATGGAAGTGAGAATTTTAAAAGCCAAGAAAAAAGTATTATGTCGACTAAAGGTGAAATTGCAAGAATACATGAATAGTTCGAAATTTCTGTGAAATAGTTAAATATCTTGTGTAAGATTCAATAATAAATAAGGAGCTTTATTGTGAAAACTCATGTATTGTCAACTTAATAGAAGCACGTAATATATTTATTAGATAATAATTTCCACATACTTTCCACAGTATTTAACACGTATTATAATATTTCATTATTACATTAATTATTATTATTTTTTTTATTATTACCTAATGATTATGTAATTTAGATTATTCTAATTTATGAAAAATGACTTTGTTTCATCCACTATTGAATTTTCAGAAGGATTAATGTCTAATATAGTATGTTTAAGCCATGTAAAATCACAGATACTATCTACATAGAAGAAAGATATTTTGATCTTTTGTTCATAAATCTAAAATGAATGACAAGGTTAGACCTTTAAGCTACATGTACTACATGTACCTTTCACTCCCAATTTAATATTTTGCCAGATTTATAAGTTTTGCTGACAATGCACAAAAATATTAAAATTGAAATAAACACCTTTTAATTCAACGAAAGTTTCTTTTTTTTGTAATTACATAGGTCAATCTCCAAAAGAAATTCAGCCCCTTACTATTATAAAAAGCAGCGGGAAAAGACCAGGAGATGTGGTACAGCTACAATGTATTGGAGAAATTGAAAATATAAACGGCATACCTAGCGAAGTATGTAAAACGTTCCTTTTACATTTTATGAGTTAACTCATTGTTGCTCAAAAGAATTCTGGAAAAAAAGTACAATGAATGAAATGCAAAGAAAAAAGCAAATAGACAAACAAGCGAACAACACACACACACACACACAAAATAAATTTCTTCACTAGAATCTAAATAAAACGTTTTTCTCAAAGTAATTTATTTTTTCTAAAATTATTTGGAAAGAAAAGTAAAATTAAAATCCTCGAAAACTTTACTAGATAAGTGTATCCCTTTCTAGGTTTATTCTACGAATCGCTTACCGTTTTCTTATTGTTAATTTGCTCTTTGCTACTTTTGTGACTACTATATCAATTCTCGAAGACATTTCAGCGACTAAAGAAATAAAATATCATAAAGAGAATTTGGATTTTGGTATATGTAAAAGTAATTATTAAGTGTCAGTAACCAGACCTCTGAAACTCTTTTTTTTTTAAATTCCTTAAGCCTAATGTTGAATTTTAAAAATGCAGTCCGTCAATAATTGTCGACACCCATTTTCATGGTTTAGATTAACCGATTTTATTTTATGCCTGTACCTTTGGACTGTTTGCTTACTTTACAGTTTGGGTAACCTGTTATCATTTCTTTAATTAATCAACCAGAATTACCTTATACCTCTCTGTCTTTGGAAAGAAGACTATTTATAAAAGCTAATGACATTTATTCAAGAAAATAGTAAGTACATAGTATCATGATAAGAATTACATCGTAGATATTTGAAAAAAAAAAAAAATTTTCTTTAAGAACATCAGATGGTGCAAAAAAATTAAAGGAAAGTTTACTAAAATATCTCTACAAGACCCTCCAAAGACCGTCTTCGTATCGAGCAGCAAAGATGGATGCACAAATATACAGAAATCTGAGATATTTTACCACATCATGCAAAGTGATGTATACCTAGAAATAATATGTGAATCTGGCTACAATAAATTCACAAGGAAATGTGGAAAAGGAACTGTAAATTCAACGCAATTGATAAGAACAAACACCGAAGGTGATTATTTCATATACATTAATACCTCATGTTATAAAGGTTCTAATGCTAAATATATTTGATAATTTTTCCTTTTCTATTTTGTGATCATTATATATTGAGTAGAAGAGGGACAATGGAAAATATCACCTTTATTGATTTACGACGAAAATGGAGTCATAGATGAACAATATTTCAACACTCATGGCATTGGTAGAACCTTTCATCTACTTTGTAGTGCTTCCTCCTTCACATCCAACGAACAGATAAATGTATATATTAAATGTATCTTATTGATGTAAAATTTGTGGAAAAATTGTTTGTCTTTAGTAGATGTTCAAGATAAAAGTTTACGTATTTGATATTTCTACGTATTTCATAAATTCAATTTGTTTAATAAATGTATTATTATTTTGTCACATCATAACCTTTTTAAACATATATCTTCTCAAAAACATTGACTTTGTAATTAGACATTTTCCCGCTTGAAATTATATTTTTTTTCTGCATATTATGAATTAGACGATTAATTGGTGTGTTAAAAAGACAGACAAGGCAAACTGGACCAAAGTCGTTTCACAAGAAGATGAAATAAAGTCTTCAACAAATAATAGTGGAGAAATCATAATGTTCAGTAGAATAACCTATCATATAACGGAGTATGACAAGGTGGTGACCTTTACCTGTGAAATTTCTGCTTCATCTTCCAGCTCGTGTGGATCTGGACTAAGTTTTTCAAGTCGTAATATTTGGATAAATGGTAATCTTTATATTTGTAAAATATTTGTATAAGAATTTGCTGTGTTCAATTTTTTTGAATGGACATCGTCTGAAGACAGCTTTGTACTTCGCTGAAAGAGGAATAAGCTCATAGTAAAAAATGTATTTCCTTAAACTCAAATTAAAAATTTGCCGTCGATTTCAGAATTATGCCTTATAATCGACATTTATGTGACATTTCTGAATCTGTATGTCATAAAAAATGTTAACACAATTTTCATTTTCCATATACATTTAAGTACGTATATACTCCTCGGCTCTAATTTTCGAATAGAAACATATGTTTTCTTTTCTCTCTGTCTTTTTAAGCCCACCAAACAATGCCATCTGAAACAAATAGAAGTTCTGCCTCTGTTGCCGTTTTATCCGTTTTGCTGTGTTTGGTTCTGATAGCAGTTGTTGCTCTTGTCGTAATAACATACAGAAGAGGAGAATTGACCACATTTGGTTAGTCCTTCGTATTTGATTTCTAAATTGATATACAGCGTGATATAAAATTGGAATATCAGTTAAGATATTTTATGGTTCTAAGGGATTTTGCTTTAAAATAAATTTGAGGCTTTATGGAAGTGCATATAAAAATGCAAAATTAAAATCAAGAACAAGCGAAAAAACTTGTTAGTTATATGTACATGTACGTGTTATTCAAAAGTAATCGTTTTGATTTAAATATCTTTTTTAGGATTTATGTTCAAGATTGAGAGGTACGCCCAGTTATTACATTATCATTAGTAGATGAATGATAAACAGTCCTTATTTAATTTTTTTTATCTTAAATTCATAGTCAATTCGAATGCCAGAAATAGATATGAATTCAAAACATTTGACAACAATTCTAGTGGTTTTTTAAAAAACATTCTGTATTTATTTCTTTACACTGCTCAATACAATATGGAAAGCTTTCAATTAACTGACAATGTAGAAAATGTGCATAAATTTCAGGAGAAAAAATCAATTTCAAGAGATAGAAGACGTGAAAAAAGTTCCTTCAGGTGATTACACACATTTTATACTGGATTTGACTACGGATTATTCCTATGATCTCACTGGTCAATTCTAGGGCTCATGGCGGGTATGGCCGGTAGACATGGGATGATTACTCCTCCTAGGCACATGATCCAAACTCTGGAATTTCCAGGGGGTTTATGTCTGCTTACAAATTTGAATTGGAAGATTTTATTTTAAATCGACCATTGTTCTTAATCTTCGCGTATTTCATTTAGAGTTAGATAAACATTAGATAAATCTTTTTTTATACATATAATTATGATAGAGCAATGATTGAAATAGATATTTTTAAACATTTGATTTACATAATGCAGTAAAAAGTAGAAGCGGTATTTAGAAAATACCTTTACGTTTTATATATATATATATATATATATATATATATATATATATATATATATATATATATATATATATATATATATATATATATATATATATATATATATATATATATATATATTTCAGAGCCATCACAACCAAAGTCCCAGAAGAGGTACATTTCCTGACCTGTCATTCTGAAATAAATATTAAATCATATAAAAATGAATATGCCAAAGTAATTAATATTTGTTAAAGAAGTCAGTATTTTTCATAGAAAATTAAAAAAAAAACTTATTGCAAATAAAATACGCATGCATTGCTTTCATAGAGAATTAGGATTTATATATTATTGTATCATCTGTCCTTAAACCAACAATTTGTTGTAATTCAATGTGATTTAGTAGTATTTACATTTTAAAAAAATTCAACATCATTCCTTTAAAGAATAAATTACTTCGTGTAGTTTCAATAACAATGCTCGTTTAAATCTTTTGCACAGTGAATCACAGTCAGGTGTACGATATATTGAAGAACCAATTAAAAACAATTCTGAAAGCAACCCAATTAAAACAGGTATTTTGAAATATCATACTTCATTACTTCATTTATTTAGTACGTATTTTTTTTTACTAACAATCTAATTTTATTAGAATAATACTATTTGATTTATTGAATCAAAACAATACATATTTATTTGTTTATTGACTTAATTCACTTATTTTCAATTGATATTTATTGTTTACAGACACTAAAAATGAAAAAGAATTTGAAGATGATACACAGTAAGTATGAATGATATTAATTCTCACGCCAACTCAATTTACTCAATGTAATTGCGCAGCACTGTTAAGGCATACTATGGAGAAATCGAGAGAATATAGAAGTGCACAAATACACACCTTTTTAAGCTGAATTTGTTTTTGTAAAGCCATTATTTTATCAACTAAATTTAATATCAATTGCAATGAGATAGTCAAATCCCACTCTGTAGAGAATTTAGCTTGGTCGCCTTATTTGACAGTCATGTGATAAATGCACATAATTTGTACTGCATGGAGGTCATAAAAAATCAATATTGCAAGGGCATACCCTTCTCCAAAGTAGGATTTTAATTTATAAATTGTTTATGTAAATCTTGGATTATCTGAAAAGTGCTGCTGCTTTAACGAGAATTCGCAGTTTACTTGTTAAAATAGGACTCCACCTGATATATGCGCGACCTTTACCAAGTATTTTATGTGTTTATAAAGTAATGTTCTCGATTTTACAACAGCAGCAACACTTTTAAAGTTAAGGAACACTTTTTCTACATGTATCTATATTGAACCAAGGTCATGATCTACATGTACCAAGGGTAATCAAACAGGTCACGAACTATCTCTTTATTTACAACATCAAAATTCAGATCAAAATGAAATTTGGCACAATTATAGACATAAACATGTTCTATAGATAACAAATGTTAAATAACATTTTGCTCCATGTTTGTGACGCCACAAAGTGAAAATGATGTCAATATGTAGGTGACTTGTGACCGAAAAAAAAAATAGTTGACTTAGTCGTACTCGGAAACGAACTGCTGTAAAGTTTAACGTATATCTTGGAAATTGTGAAGGAAGGGAGATTAAAAATGATGTTTGTTCTGGTGCCCAGTGAAAGTAAGCTGAGAAAGAAAGAAATCTGTCCTTAGTTGAGCAAGTTGTTATGAAAGATCGCCAAATTACAGTTAGAAAAATAGTTGAATATCTTAACAATAATATAGTTATTAAATACCTTAGATATCGTTTACTTTATGCTTTTAACATATCTGATATGATAAAAAGAAGGCGCCCATACTTTATCCACATTTGATAAACGACGCACCAAAGACAGAGTAGTGGGGTTGTGATGGTCTCCATGCTCATTCTGGGAAAAGATATCCTTATCCACTCATCCTATTCTCGAGATTTGGCCATTTTTGACAAATGGACTAATCATTTTAAAAACAAATAATCTGCAATGTAAGAAATATAAGTTTCGGAAAAGTCTTTTAGCTTCTTTGAACAGAATGCTACAGACCATTGACGTGACTGACTGGATCACATGATTCGCGCATGAGCAGAACGGTGGCAGATGTGCATTAAAATCAGAGAGGATTACTTTAAAAAATAATAAACACTGAAACCTTATTTTATTTCTTTTATGAAAGTAATTCAATTAGTTCGCGAACTTTTTTTTATCACCCTTCGTATTAAGTTTATGTCCTTGCGCTAGGGCGATTTATCAAGGCACCTCGATGTTAAACAAGCGAGCAATTCCTTTGAACAAAACACGGGATAATAAATGCAATACACTTTCCCGATAAAAAAAAATAATGGCATTTAATTAGTCTTACACATATGAACTGATTGTCTAATAAATGTTTTTACATGTAGACAATATTCTGTTTAATTATAAAATGCAAATTATTTAATTTTATGATATTATGAAGAACTGATATTTTTGCGTGATGTCACAGTAAACATTTCCGTATAAATTATGTAGCCTTAACAGTGCTGCGAGGTAAACTGTGATGCAGTTCAAATTATTACCTTACCTTCTATTTAATTTTTTAATTAGGCATTTGAACTGTTTCCTGATTCATTTTAATGTTGTTGCAAATCATGAAATAGTCAAACTGTTTAACCCAGTAATAGAATGAACTGTTGCATGGCTGAACTGATCCATTATGACTTCATAATTGATTTCCCGTACTTTACAGCTATAATATTGAATTATGTATCAATTAAAGCATTCTCATGGCATTCAATTTAAAATTATCATTTGAAAAGTAATCCAGATACCAATATGAATATATATTCAATTTAATATCATTTCAAAGAAGAGGCCACGAATACCTTTTCTGAGGGTAGCTTGAGAAAAATGTAGACCCATTTTACTCACTATAGATCTTTGCCTTAAACGTCTAACTCAGCGTGTTATATTTAAACCTTCAAGTCATCATTATGTTGTTTACTAAGCAATACATGTATACATTAATTTATTAGTGCATGATAATATCACCCAACTAATTTTTCTGCTTTTACACCAATGGATGTGAGAATTTGATTAATATTCATCTTGATTAGTTTGGATTCCAGAAATAATACAAATTTTGTCAATGTTTTTTTAAAAGACATTGATTATTATGTCTATATAATTACTTTAAAAAATTATATAATAGGTTAGGTAAAAAAAAAAAAAAACAAACCCTTATTTAATGACAACCCAGGAGACAGTCAAACTGTTGTCCCTCGATAATGGGGAAGACCTGGGAAACTGTTGCCCTCCGCCTTCGACCTCGGGCAATAGTCTCCCAGGTCTTCCCCATTACCTCGGAACAACAGTGTTCCCCATCGTAGTCATAAAATAATTGTATACTGATAACTAAACTTATTTTTGTCTATCCAAGAGGGTTGTACGAAGAACCGGAATGCAATTTGGCGGTTCGAAGACTAAGCTTTTATGAAAATGAAGCTTTGAAAAACGAAAAATTGAATGAAGTAGAAACAACAAAACACATGGTTGAATCTGAAATGTAAGTGACTTACAAATAACAAGTTCATAATAACAAGTAACTACAGTGTGTATACATAAAGTATTCATTTTTCTCATTTACAGTATGATACTTGTGTGATATTATAATTCCTTTCATAGTGATCATGATTAAAACTTAAATTAAATTGGACTTATGAACATGTTATTGACAGTTTATGTTATCAATACAACTATTTTCAATTAAAAAAAAAAAAATAAAAATAAAAAAAAAAAAGCTTAACAATTTCATTGTTAAAATTTAGAGCTAAGATTTTAATTATTTTTTTTATATATTATTAGATCATCAGAAAATCTGTTCATTTCTTTTCTACAGATGTGACTACGATGAGTTGCAAATTGAAGGAGAACAACAAGACTACGAAGATCTGAAATTATAAATATTAAAAAAGAAAAAGATCAATGACATTTCTTTCTTGATATTAAAATACAGTACATAACTATGACGTATAAATACAACAAAAACGAAATTTGAGATTCTAAGAATAATTTGGTTTATTACAAAGGAAAAAACTTGGGCAAACTTTGCATATTTTTTGTGTCTAGAATCTCATTAATTGAATTGAATTTTTATCACTAAAATCAAACTAATAAGAATAAAAAATAAAACAATTCAATAATTAAACAAAACCACGTATTCTAGATACCTAGAAATCAGAGTAAACACCTTGTCTCTGCACACCATATTAACTCTCTTGTTTTGAATTTTTGTCGGATAGCAGAAAATTCAAAACAAGAGAGTTTATTGCTCTGTAGAGACGATTGTAAAGGGTTAAGAGGTGGATAAAATATACTGATTGGTTAAAAATATGTTTAGAATCAGGGAGTGGAGTTTAATTGATTGAACAATGCTGGAAAGCGGAGAATTTTCCCCAACCGTGCGTAGAAAAGCTTCCACCGTAAATTGCACCATATTTGCATTACGGGATCTGCAACGTTATGGTCAAAGACTAAAATATAAAACCGTAACGCTACAGTTCTGCAGTTAAGATGCTGCCTAATGATATTAGAATTTTCAAGTTGGTTAGGAAATATGTAAAAATGACACAGAAGACATAAAAGACATAAAAAAGAGGTTTGCATAACTGAAATACAATTTTTTAAAATATAAATGTTAGGAAAATAACCAGTTCGTTTAATTTGGTCTTTATGTTATTAAAAAATCCTTAACAAGTATGGAAATATGAAAATGTTGTATGGTTTTCTGTTTAATACATTCCTTGTAACAAGAATGATCACTCTTCATATCTAAATCAACAGTTCTTTTGTCTGTCTTGTGTACGCCCAAATGCTCGCTTGAAACAAAAAAATACTAAATTGTCAAATCAAATTATAAACAATTTTTATACCGATTTCTTCATTTACTAGATTAAAAATTTATGAATATAGAATTTCAAAAAAGGACTTCGCCTCAACAGATGATGGTGCTCGGATTTGTTTGGTGTTGATGGTGTGTGCTAACACTACATGTTACCCCTTTTAACTACCCAGTAGATAAGAAAATGAATACTAATTTTCTATTGCGGATTCCACAGTAATTAAAAGGCTACGTCTTATCAAACGACTTGAGTTATAGTTTAATTTGATTTAATTACTGTTTTGGTGTTCCGTTCCTTATAAATGAGAATTCTGGTATTTCTCCAAACTCATATCAGAGGAGTTGGCACTAAAACGTTTAGTGTCCAACCATTTTATAAAATCATCAGTACATTCGGATATTCAGACTTAATGCTGATATTCGAGGAGACATTTTCTTACTCTGATAGTCCCAAAACCTTGTAGATAGATAAAGAATTAGAATGTAAAACTATTCGCAATCTATCAAGATAAGTATTCGTATTTGAATGAGAACAAACAAAGCAAAGTTATGAGGAAGTTTTACTCCCACCAACTTTGGCATTTAATGCAGGTATTTTAAAGACTTCCTAGCACCCACACAGAATATATAGCGTGGACACACTGATACTTGCGATGTAACTGAAACTACACAAACCAGTTCATCACATTTGTCTAAGGTATATTCCTGTAAATAATGATGTCATTCCGGTAACATTTCGAATTATTTATATCAGTCATTCATCCTAAATGCTTCCCTGATTTTAATCTATTAACAATTTATATTTTATCTAATGTATCCCTTTCACTGCCGGTAGTTTGAGTTTACACAAATTTTACACTTCAAAGTGCCGAGAGCTTGCCGAAGGAACAAAATAAAAAAAATAAACAATGAACAATGAACATGATGCTATTTTACCGATTTTGGCTTATAATGTGAAGATGAATCAGAAATACTAATCCTAAATGTATACAGCAAGCCAGTTTGCATTACTAAGATGCGAAGTAATAGTTGAGAATATGATTTGCCTGATTAAGAGAATTAGGAGGGAATCCTTGACAGAATTGGGCATCTATATTTTTGAATTTCATTCATTACTACATCTGGCTTGACAGAATCTGAATGTTTGTATAATCAGTGCTAGTACCTATTTAGACTCACAATGTTATTACTCAGTTAAAGTAGAACTAAACTTTTCTCATCCTAGTTATAATTTATTTTCATACGGACTGATTGATAGGTAAACGAAAAGACATACAGGGAATGCTTTCGTTTGATTGTCCACCCGAAATAAATAAATCTATAAATAATGATTAAAATCGAATCAATTATATTTTTTATTGCAATGCTCTTTTCATATAAAATACATGTACATGTACTTACATTTTGTTCCAGAAAGACCGAGTCGCGATTATTTAAGTTTTGATGGCGCAAAATGACCCGGTAAGCTAACAGGCATTTCGAAAAAAGTGTGGATATCAGCAAATGAAAACAATTCTCCTGTTTTCTTTTTGGGAACTTCCAGTGTGATCTAAAGGCCATTTTTCACCCAAATGATGCGGTTACACAGGACTAATTCAAATTAAGTCCATTGGATTTTTAATGTAAAATGTGTAGGTAATGAAATATGAGAAGATATGAGAAGATAACAAACAGTGACCTTAATCGATCGGTAAACGCTGTCTTTTTATGGCATCACTTAATTACATTTTAGAAAACAGGCTCTCTTTTTAACTCTGTGTTATAAATTCTGGGGTTTTGATACTCCAATGTCAAATTGTATTACAATGTCATTAACAGTCTTGTCTTGAAATTCTACAAAACTTAAAAAAAAGTGAAGTCCAACAAAAATTTTGCTCATTCTGCGACTTAATCAAATGCTTCTAAATATTCTCAATTTCTGCTGCGCTTTCAAGGGGGGGGGGGGAGGGGAGTTTACTTGATCTTACTCCCATATATTGAGAAAAAAACAGCCTTATTATTTTTGCCAAGCTACGCCACTTAAATAAGTCCTATTTCATTTTGGTTTTGGACGTTGAAAGACACCATTATCCGCTTTTAAAAATGTCTACACCAATAATATAGGGGAATGGGTATAGGGGTATACTTAAACTTTCATTTATCACTTGACCGAAATTTCTGCGGTGGTTTCAGGGGCATCTCCCCTTGAACACGATTGAAAGAGGAGATTGGGGTATTCAACCCTAGTCCACGGTAGTCAGAAAAGCATGCACATTATTTTTGTTTTATTTTTCCAAGATACGCCACTGGCTAAAAGGGTTAACTTACTACACCATCAATACCTCATGCGGGCTAGATTAACCATTAATGAGGTTTTTTTTTTTAAATCAGATAAATAACTTCAATTGAAACATATATAGTTACAGTGAAAAATTTTACATGTAGTTTTAAGGACTAGTTTCGATAAGACTGTTTTTGGGACACTCCAGATGTTATGAAATTTTGAATTTTTGAAATCTTCCGGAAATACAAAAATTCATTTTGCTCATTTTCCGGTCACGTGATAATTGGAAATTAGCATACTCCCTGCTTTATTTTATTGGAGTATACATTTTTAAAAGCGGATAATGGAGTCTTTTAATTTCAATAAAATAGGATATATTGCTTAGCTGGGCAAAAAAATATTGATGCTTTTCTTACTGTAGGAAACCTGGGTCGAATTAACCCCAATATAAAAAAAATAATGTAGATGCTTTGGCATACAATCATACATGGAAGTAATCAAAATCTAAAAGGTACCCTGTAGTAAGACTGGAGGTACTTTGAGCACTTTGAGCTCGCATAATAATACCCTTCTTCTATATGATTACAATGGGAAAGATCATTTTTTGCTATGAGAAACTCCAACAAATTATCCGGTGTGAGCATAAAATAGGAAGTACACGATGACACTATGTAGAACATAATTATACTCTGAAAGTCTCTTTAGCTTTTTTATTGGTATAAGGGGAGTAGTGAATAAAGGATGGGTACCCCTATATTATAGAAAAATTGGCATTGTCCATTTATTGCAATTGTAACTAAACCCCAGATATCTGTCCGATCAGAACATAAAAATGGACGTACAATGGTTATATGTACATTTAGAAAGACTCTGTGAAAGTGTCATTAAATTTTATTCAGTTGTATAGGAGGAGTTGCAGATAAGAGATGGATGCCTCCAAATGAGTGGGTCGATGTTTTGCTACTGTAAACTGTTAACTCAAAATATCAATCTGATTAAAACGTTAAATAAGAGGTGCAAAACGGGACTATGTAATGAGGATTCTGTGAGAGTCTCATCAAATATTATTCAGTGGTATAGGAGGAGTTGTGGTAAAGAGGTGGGTACTCCAAACGCAGGTGTGTTAAGGAAGCACTAAGATAATCTGACTTGACTAAATCAGTGATACAGTATGACTTCATAGTAGGCGAGATGAGAACAGATTAGAGCACAAGTTTTCTTAATATTGTTATTTAGAGATATATTTTAACTCATGAAAATGAATAGAAACTTGCACATATCAACAAAAATCAAATGTTTTTATTTTGTTATTCTGTATCTGTCACTTGAGGTAAAATCTCCCGACCGATGACGTCATAACTGTTCACAAGTAACTTGGGAATTGATCATGTTGTGTAACGAGAATTTGGCTAAGGAGGCATGTAAAAAGATTCGTAAAAGGGGATTAGAAGCAAATACCGTGAATATTGTGTGTGATTTATGTGTAGTTAATGTTTGTTAAACAGGTATGCTAATTTATTTTCATTGATTATATCTTCTATTGAGGACAGTCGGCAATTTACGTATCCCGGTCGGCGTTTCCTCTGTCATTCGTGACAACAATAATGCAAAAGAACAACACTAAGCTGGATACTTCAAAACATAAGATTTGTAGATATCAAAAAAGCTTGCGTTCAATAATACTTGGAAAGTGCTGTTAGAATCGTGAGGTAAACATGGTTTGAAGAAATATCTCGGGCTATATGTACATAATGCAAAACATCGGGTAAGGTTTCGTGCGAATATGTGGAATAATTATT